GACTAACTGAACAAGCTAAAATAGGTCAACCTGTTAGCTATTGAGTTCAGTTAACCACAGCGCTACCCAGCTCTCCCCATTTATATTATGGTCTTGCAGTTACTTTGTTCACCATTATCAGATTTCTATCAGATTTCTTTCAGTTTTGTTATCAATCAGGTAAAACTTCATCAATCATTTGGCACGCTAACACTATAGATGCTCATGAAACGACACACACATGCTGCATGATGTTATTATCGTTGTCTGGGCAACCACAATGTTTTATTTTATGCGGCAGCCAATCATGTAGCATAACGTCACTGGCATCAGCAGGGCCCAAGCAGATCTGGTACCTACACCAGCACCCAAGCACTACCTCGTTCATATTAGTTTGTATTTCTCATCCAACGGGCGTCGCCCCTCTCCATTCCAATGTTGCAGCAGCTTACAATGGAGCGAGCCTATCGACAGCCGAGCTCACAATTGACGTCGGCCAATCACTGTCACCATACACCAGCCTATCAAGGTCCGAGCTCACAATGGGTCTCGGCCTACCATCGTCATGATTTACGAGCCAAGCAATGACCGAGCTCATAATGGACGTCGGCCAATCAAGTTGAAGCCTAACTTCTAAAAAAATAAGAGAAAAAAAACAACAAAAACACCCAACAAGTTGACAATGTTATTTTCCTTTAAATTAACGTTTGGGGGATTATGAAAGCTAGCTGTCGGTAGTCACATTTTTTTCATGGATCCGTTGTCTCTGCTGACTTAAAAATAAATTTGCAGCAAGTATACATTTATATCGTTTCTTGTATCCTTCCATTCAAACAAACGTCATATTTTCCTCCTTATTTCACATCAACTAAAACCAATATACCGTATATTAGATAAATTAATGGTATTATAACGTCACATTCTGTTAGCAAACTGGCACATTTCACTTACTATAGTATAGTAACTTTTTAATAAAAAAAGTCGATAGATAGATCTATCTTGCTGGTATAGGAAGCTATGTTTTTAAATTTTTTTTTATTCTTTCGTGCCATACCAATTGTTAACTGTATAAAGGGCATCAATACCTTATTAAGTTTGATTCTCCTCTTTTCTTCAGAGGAGCACCAAGTCAAAGAGCCATAATGGTGTGGGAAATGGGGAGTGGATGGCAAGGCTCAGAGTATTTGGCATCAATGGGTTTGGGCTTCAAATGCTGGAAATAGACCCGTCCCACGGCAGAAGAAATAACATGATCTCTATCAGAAGGTGAAGTGTAGCCCCTGTTAAAAGAAAAATAAAATAAAAGTAGAGACATGAGTGATTGTCATTAGTGAGATGATATCAGTCAGAATCAGAAATACTTTAATAATCCCAGAGGGAAAAAATGTTTCTATCTAAGAGTTCAATATTTTTCTAATAGAAAAATGCTCCATGCAAGCACAGGGTCAGACTACCCTTTTTGGGTTTTCACTCTGCTAAGGTAATCTGGTTTATAGTACCTTTTAATTTATTTCATAGAGGGTTATTTATTTCATTTGGGTTATCTTGATTATTGTGATTTTTTGTTTTGTTATTGTTTTTTTATTTAATTCACTGTCTTTTCATTGTTGTCAAATAATATATTTGTTTCTTTAAACATATAAAGTGAATGGTCTTCTACTGTGAATAGGTATGAGTTGCTTCAGAAATATTAGTAATAATGTTGTGCATAAAAAAGGAACAATTTATTGCTCAATTCACTCTGAAAGTGCTTTAGGAAATGTCCATATTTTAAAGAAATACCATAGTTTTTTGACCTGCGAATTTGCCGTGAAAAATGAAAACTACCACTGAATATGATTAATAGTATTAAAGTATACTGCATCTCGGTACTTTACGGTATGATGGGGAAGAAATATCTTAATATATCACTGAATCAGAAAACAAATTAAATAAGATCTTTATGAATAAAGCTTTACTAGGAAAGCTTTGTTTTAGCAAATAAAATGTGCGATGTTGTAATATACGTTATGGCACTATTTCCACAAAATAGCACTTGCCAATGTTTTTAACCCCTTAAGCCCGGCCAGCCTGGTACCGGGCCCAGCTGACATCTGTTCATGTTTATCTATTTATAGAACTGGCCAAAACACAGTCACATGGTGTTTCATCAACATGCCTTTCAAATGGGGCTTTAAATTTTGTAAAACATGTTTAAATTTTTTTTTTTTTTTTACAAATACTTTTTTGTTTTATAGCTATGTAAACACATAAAATGAGATTTAAAATTGCTAAAAATGCATTTTTCCACTTTTACATTTCCACCTACAGTATAGCACACTGCCAACTTAAAACTTTGTGGAACAAACATGCTTCAACTTATTCAGTCCAAATTTACCTGAGTTGTAGTCCAGATGTGGAGCTATAAAGTCTGAGGGTTCATTTAAAGTTTCAAATGGGGTTTCGTGGTGTTTAGCAGTTTTTATTTTTGGAAAAAATTTGGCGGGGCTAAATATTTTTCTTTTTTTTTTTTGTTTGAGCACCTATAAATCAGACATGGAGACATTTAAAATGAAAAACTCACATGAAGAGAAAAGACAATTAGAAGAAATTTATTGATACAATACTTTGTCTTGGGCACTCAGACCTCAGCAGGAAACATAGCGCTTAATATTGATAGATATGCATGAACAGGAGTAAAGAACAAGGCTGTTCCCCCCAGGCCTGAAACCGGTGGTTGAGTGGAGATAGATGAAGTTGGTCAGTCAGTAGACTGCTGGTTAGAGAGACGGTCTGCTGAGCTTTATGGGGAGATCCAGTGAACTACGTGAGCTGATACTCAGGGACCTGGAAGATGGAAGTCCGGTTTGATACCACAGGTTGAGAGAACCTGTCCATGATGAGCAAGCATGAAGCGACAGTGGAGAGGAAAAACTCCCTGATGGGAAGAAGCCTCTGGCAGAACCAGGCTTAACATGGCGGTCTTCTGCTGGACTGGTTAAGATGAGACAGGGAATGCAGTAGAGCTTGAGAGGAATGACACTCTGATTAAGTTTTAGCTATGATGGAGGAGGGGCTGGAGGTGGGTTGAAATGGAGTCATCTGAATGAAGTCACAGTGCATCCCCCGCCTGCGCACTAGGTAGCAGATGAGTTGTGGGTCGGAGGCCTTTTAAGATGAGCATTTGATGCTTTCTCGGAGGCGTGGTTCAAAGCTTATTGGCTGTGTCGTAGGTGGATAAAGGCGAGTTATCAGTTTATTCAGCCTAGGCTCCATTCCCACCTGAAAATAATTCCTCAATGCCTTCCTGTCATACAAATACAAAACAACTGTATTTCCTTTTTTTTTTAGGGTTAAATCTCTTCTAGCTTTTATTCACATGGACAAAAAACAGCAACTGTAAAGAAACAGGATTTTCTTTAGCTCATAAGCCATTTACAGCAACACCTGGACTTAATATTCAGATCTCTGTTTTAATAGATCGTATTGGAAAAACATCAGACAGATAAAGACAGTTTTGGATGATGATGATTAAAACTCGAGTTACAGTCTATTAGAAATCCATAGATGACCTATCAGCCCAGTGGGAAAGAAAGGCTGGTTTTCTTTTTGGAGAGAAGTGCTGAAAGTTGAATCAGGGATCTGCTCAGGCTTCTGGTCTCTTTGGAGTGAAGACAAGTCCTGCAGTTCTCGCCCCAAGGAGCCATCCAAGTTCCTCCTAATATTGCTCTGCAGGTCTAGGCTTCTGGCTGGAGGCAGGATGTTCTGGCCTGCATTCGACCATCCGGATAGACAGTGCAACGGTAATCCAAAACTGTCTGAATGATCAACGCTGCTTCTCCAATGAGCTTTGTACTTGTAAGGTGGCAGGAGGTCGCTGCGAGGAATGCTGACCCTTTAAGAAAATAAACAGGGAAAACAGATAAAAAAAAAAGGTTTTAACATCAGGTGGTTAAAAATGTATTCATTTTACACATTTTTTATGCTGTGATTTATAGAAAGAAAGGCCCACAAACACTATGATAAGGCTAATCTAGAAAAAAATTATCTATAGCAAATGCTTATACCGGTATGTTTTATGGATTTCTAGGAAAGAAACAACCTTATAGATCAAAGATTTATTTTATGTTTTCATGTAAAAATTCTTTACTTTTTCAAACTTTATATGCCTTCTAAATTTGAGGTAATCCAACAAAAAGATCTAACTTGCTTCAATGCATATGTTTTAACAGAGCAGGCTGTCAACACAGAATCTGAATTGCACAAAGCGAGAGAAGAAAGGAGGATAAATAGAAATGGGAAATCTTGCAACATAAACCTCTAAGCATAGTTTTTACAACAGCATATCTGACTTCCTTTTCTCTCATTTCTGTGGCTAATAATTGTATACTAGCAGATAATCTACTTCACTGGACTTGATTGTCTCTCTATATGCTGCCCCCTGCTGGGTCAGCATCAGACAGAAACTGAAAGATCTGAAGAAATTTGACCTTCTTAAACATCCATCCATCCATTCATCCATCCATCCATCCATCCATCCAGCGCCTGACGCTGCAGTTGTTAACTTTTTTTTTTCCCCACTGGCCCTAATCCTCTTCCATAAATGCAGTGTTGACTAGGAAGAATCTTATTTTAGAGATCAACAAATGGAACACTAGAGAGGACAGCGCTTCTATTAAATGTCAATACGGCCTGCCAATGTGTTTCCAAAGAAACTTTGTTGCACTTTACCCACTTTGTTGACTCACCAACCCTAAGTGAAAGATAATGAATGGGATCAATAAAGTTGGTATTTTCTTTTAAGAAGTCTTTGGGACCCATTTTATTCTTTTACTATAAGAAAAGTTATATGATTAATTCATTTTTTCAATTCAGACTTCCTGGCCTTGGCTCATGTTCTGTTAAGAGCATTTTTCAAAAAACAATCTTATCTGTATTACCTTTACTTTCAGAGGTTTGTGGGTGCGTCTGCTCTCTGGGGGCGGGGCAGCATACCCGCCTCTTACTGTAGCTCAGTGAAAGTCAGAGTCAGACTGAAAGAGAGCGGCTTCATTAGCGGACTAAGCTGTGGAATGATGATCTAATTTCTCCTTCCCTTTCTCTTTGTTGGTAAGAATGTTACTTTAACTTATAAATAAATCATTAATAGCTAATAGCGTGAGCTTGGAGACTTTTTATCTTAAATAATATTTTCCGTGATATTGCTCCACAGCTGAACTTTTGTAATGTAAACCAATGCATCGTTTTGTCATCATTTTATTACTTTAAAGCTTTACCTTCTTTATAAACGTATTACTGATTTACATTAGACTTTTATCCTGCAAATTCCCGAAAATTTCCCGGGAAATTCCCAGATCTGTGCAACGATTATTATTCGCAACCAATTCACTCACCTGATCCTGCTTTTCACTCCTCATCTTTCATCTCTGCTGTTTAAAGAAACTCAGCAAATCGATTTTATTTCGCTGGTAATTTTCAGTTTGGCAATCTAGATAAATGCTGAGAGCGCTTCTTTTGTTCATGTTGTTGTTTTTAAAATGATCTTATCTAAATCTGTTATTAAAACTAGTTCTGGTCAAAAGCAGTGCTATTCATTAAATGCTACCCTGATTTATAATATACTATACTATAATATAGATAATATGTGTATTTTATTTTTTTTAACAATGTTGTCAACATTGTTAAAAAAATGTTGACACGTGTTGACATCCTTTTTGACATTTGGCCCTTAGGTATTCCTGTTTGCTTCTGTGAAGAGATCAACTGCACTACCTTGGACACAAATAATGGAACATTTTATGTTGTGCCAAAGTTTGGAAGCAATGATTGTGTCTATTCCTGGAGCAACAACTCAGTAAGTTCAATAAATGAATATGCTCTACAAAAGTTACATATATATATATATATATATATATATATATATATATATATATATATATATATATATATATATATATATATATATATATATATATATATATATATAGGTAAAAGCCAGTAAATTAGAATATTTTGAAAAACTTGATTTATTTCAGTAATTGCATTCAAAAGGTGTAACTTGTACATTATATTTATTCATTGCACACAGACTGATGCATTCAAATGTGTATTTAATTTAATTTTGATGATTTGAAGTGGCAACAAATGAAAATCCAAAATTCCGTGTCACAAAATTAGAATATTACTTAAGGCTAATACAAAAAAGGGATTTTTTTTTAGAAATGTTGGCCAACTGAAAAGTATGAAAATGAAAAATATGATCATGTACAATACTCAATACTTGGTTGGAGCTCCTTTTGCCTCAATTACTGCATTAATGCGGCGTGGCATGGAGTCGATGAGTTTCTGGCACTGCTCAGGTGTTATGAGAGCCCAGGTTGCTCTGATAGTGGCCTTCAACTCTTCTGCGTTTTTGGGTCTGGCATTCTGCATCTTTTTTCACAATACCCCACAGATTTTCTATGGGCTAAGGTCAGGGGAGTTGGCTGGCCAACTTAGAGCAGGTCAGCAGCAGGAAGCATGAAGTGCTCTAAAACTTGCTGGTAGACGGCTGCGTTGACCTTGGATCTCAGGAAACAGAGTGGACCGACACCAGCAGATGACATGGCACCCCAAACCATCACTGATGGTGGAAACTTTACACTAGACTTCAGGCAACGTGGATCCTGTGCCTGTCCTTTCTTCCTCCAGACTCTGGGACCTCGATTTCCAAAGGAAATGCAAAATTTGCTTTGGTCAGAAAACATGACTTTGGACCACTCACCAGCAGTCCAGCTCTTTTTTCCTTAGCCCAGGTGAGACGCTTTTCGCGCTGTTTCTTGGTCAACAGTGGCTTGACACGAGGTATGCGGCAGTTGAAACCCATGTCTTTCAAGCGTCTCTTGGTGGTGGATCTTGAAGCACTGACTCCAGCAGCTGTCCACTCCTTGTGAATCTCCCCCACATTTTTGAATGTTTTTTTTTTCACAATGTTGACTAGGGCGCGGTGATCCCTATCGCTTGTACACTTTTTCTGACCACGGTTTTTCCTTCCCTTTGCCTCTCTATTAATGTGTTTGGACACAGAGCTCTGAGAACAGCCAGCCTCTTCAGCAATAACCTTTTGTGTCTTTCCCTCCTTGTGCAATGTGTCGATGGTCGCCTTTTGGACAGCTGTCAAATCTGAAGTCTTCCCAATGTTTGTGTAGGCTTCAGAACTGGACTGAGAGACCATTTAAAGCCCTTTGCAGGTGTTTTGACTTAATCAGCTGATTAGTTTGTGGCACCAGGTGTCTTCAAAATTTAACCCTTACACAATATTCTAATTTTGTGACAAACGGAATTTTGGATTTTCATTTGTTGCCACTTCAAATCATCAAATTAAATGAAATACACATTTGAATGCATCAGTCTGTGTGCAATGAATAAATATAATGTATAAGTTACACCTTTTGAATGCAATTACTGAAATAAGTTTTTCAAAATATTCGAATTTACTGGCTTTTACCTGTATATATATATATATATATATATATATATATATATATATATATATATATATATATATATATATATATATATATATATATATGTAGAGTAAATACCTGTTTTTAGGGCCATGTTCTGGCAAATGATGAGAACAGCAATGAGGAGCTGATCATCAGCTGGAACAGGACATCGCTACAAACTTACAGCTGCTCTGAGGCTATAATGTACTCTCTGGACTGCATGTCTATGGTATGAAAATGTTTAAATATATACATATATATTTAAAATCTTCAGTATTACTCTAATGAATTAATTTGTTTCACTCAGGGGTATAAAGCAACATGTTTTGGTGAGTATTTGCTTGTTTAGTTGATGCAAATGCAGTAGTATTTCACTGTGGAAGTCTGTGAAACTGCTTATTCTTTCATTCACCTTCAGTCTGATAACATCACTTCCCAGACGCTGCCTGACTACATTTCCAGAAAGCTTACTTTGTAAAATGTTAATGAAAAAAGTTGATTATATCAATCTAAGATATTCAATTCAGCATAATGTTACCTGGATATTAAGCCCTATTTTTTATTCAACAGTTAAACTGTGTTTTTAAGCAACAATATCCAAAATATCTTATACTTTGCTCAAAATATCTAGTGAGATTTTGTAAGAGTTCAAAATGTAAAAGTTTTAATCTTTTTTTCCCCCCAGCTAACTGCACAGGGAGCAGTGGACATTATAAAGAAGAAGGTAGGAACTACAACAAGCGATCTAGATTTTAAGTAGTAATTGCATGAGTCACAACATTTTATGCAGTGGTTGATGAGTCACAACAGCAGGTTTAACATGCAGAACTGAAACTGCGGAATCTAATCTTTTCTCCTTTTTTTCTTTTTCCTTTTCTGTTCTACTTACATTGCAGTGTCCATATAATCTGTAAAACTCCCTGTATAATTATAATAAAGCTATTTATATGCATACATCAAGCAGAACGCTATTGCAATAGCCCTACTGCTCCACTTGTGAGAGTAAAATCTGTTGGGCTCTTTTTGGCATCAAGACAATCTTTCTTATTGCCACATCGCCAGACAGGACACTGTTAAAAAAGAAAAAAGAAAAAAAGAAACGTTGATCGTTGTTTTCCAAGGAGCTTAATAACAATTGTACTTCTTTAAGTGGTCTCACTGCTCCCTTTAAGTTCTGTTAAATAGATTTATTGGATTTTGACTGATATTTGGCTTCCATCCATTTTCTGAAGAGTATATGTTTTAGTTTTTTGCTACATTATATAAACAAATGTCTAACATAGAAAAAAATCACAAACAGTCACTGAGTGTGTTACTCCCAACAGTTTAGACAAGAGTGCACTAGATGCTCAAATAGCAATAGTCCATAACAAGGAAAACAGTTCACATTTCAAAAAAGTTACTTAAACACTCTTCCATCCAAATATAACAGTTTTGATACAAAGGGGTACAAAAGCACTGGAGAAACGATTAGTTTTAAGTTAAGGTATGTTCGGAAGACATGAGTGAAAACTATGGTTGCCAACCATCCCTTGAAAAATAGAATAGTTCCGTATGTAGAAGTAGAAGTACCTGTCCCGTATCTTTGGAGAAGGAACGCACTTTGTACCGTATTACTGTGAGAGTAAAAAAATAGTCAGTAAAAAGCTAATGGAAAATAAAGAGCACCGGCACGTTAGAAACAAAACTTACGGTAAAATTGTTCCCGGGCCCTGGCCTGCCTCATGACTTATGAGCTGACAGCATACAGTCAAGTATTCATAAGGAAAAAAATATTATATTTTCACCTGATCTGCTGCCCTCTGGTTTTAATGTGTGTATGTCAGATGTTGTCATCACAGACAGAAATATAATTGCAATCATATTATGAGTAACAAAAGCTTTTAATGACAGTTAGGATGAGTTAATGCAGCAAGTCAATATTTGCAGTGTTGACCCCTCTTCTTCAGGACCTCCCTCTGCAGTTTTCCCTGGCATGCTCTCAGTCAACTCCTGACTGATAGCAGTACATTCTTGCACAATCAATGCTTGCATTTTATCAGAACGTCTAGGTTTTTGTTTGTCCACCCGTCTCTTGATGATTGCCCACAAGTTTTCAATGGGATTAAGATCAGGGGAGTTTCCAGGCCATGGACCCAAAATCTCTATGTTTTGTTTCCTGAGCCAGTTAGATATCACCTTTGCTTTATGGCAAGGTTCTCCATCATGCTGGAAAAGGCATTGTTCATCACCAAACTACTCTTGGACGGTTCGGAGAAGTTGTTCTCAGAGGACATTCTGGTACCATTCTTTATTCATGGCTGTGTTTTTAGAGAGAGCTGACTCCCTTGGCTGAGAAGCAACCCCACACACGAATGGTTTCAGGATGCTTTACAGTTGATATGAGACAAGGCTGGTGGTAGCGCTCACCTCATCTTCTCTGAACAAGCTGTTTTCCAGATGTCTTAGAGAAAATGACTTTACTCCAGTCCTCAGCAATCCACTCCCTGTACCTTTTGCAGAATATCAGTCTGTCCCTGATGTTTGTCCTGGAGAGAAGTGGCTTCTTTGCTGCCCTTCTTGAGACCAGGCCTTGCTCCAAGAGTCTCCGCCTCACAGTGCGTGCAGATGCACTCAAACCTGCCTGCTGCCATTCCTGAGCAAGCTCTGCACTGCTGGTAGCCTGATCCCGCAGCTGAAATAGGGCTGGGCGATATAGAAAAAAAGCTTATCGATAAAAAAAAATGCATATTGATCGATATCGATAATTATTGAAAAGATTTGAAACCATATTTTATGTGCAGCTCTGCCTGGACTTTTTATAATATTGCTAAATGATTTAATTTTAATAAAAAACACAAACACAGACTTCTAATTAAATCTTTATTTAATCTACTTTTTTAACCATAACAATTGTTTTAAAGAAAAATAACTTAAGAGGCCTGAGTCATGTTATTAAATACTGACAGAGAATAAACTAAAGTGACCAGAAAAGTGACCAAAATAAATATACCGGTAACAAATAAATAAATGCCCCCCCACCGCCACCGCCGCCCCCGTTTCCTGCTTTAACCTGAGTTATTACTTTGAAGTTTCTGGCCCCTCAGCATTTTTATCTCAATTGTTAGAACTACGTGGGAAACTGCCCAGAACTGAAAATATATATACATTTTCCGAAGATTCCTCGGAGGAGAGCCGCACCGGGGCCTACACAGCTCGTACTCCTGCGGCTGTGAGCGGCTGAGATGATAAAAAAAAAATAAAATAAAAAAAAAGTTGGTTTCGTTATCAGACTTCGTTTTCACTGGTTCCCGACACATTTTCCAGATGACTGTGGTTTGTTTTTGGTCCGACTTGCCATGACTGAAATACTGCCAAACTGCCGAACTACAGAAACCCTTCTTTGAAACAATTTCCTCCGCCTCTCCTTGCTGCGACATCTTCATGTGCTCTGTGTTGTGGTCTGAGAGGGCGGCGCTTGGTGACGGCGTGCCTGGGTCCGCGATTGTGATTGGTTGGGAGGAAGCAGTGACTAGCATAAACCTACATGCTAGGCTACAATGAGAAGGAAGGAAAACTGCGTTTCTTTTTTATCGAACTTTTATCGACCCTCTTTTTTTCTGTTGCGCCACACGTCTATCGATCGATATATATCGTTATTGAATTATCGCCCAGCCCTAAGCTGAAACACTTTTACAGAGATGGTCCTGGTGCTTACTGGTCTTTCTTGGGCGCCTTGGAGCCTTTTTGGCAACAATGGAACCTCTCTCCTTGAGGTTCTTGATGATGTGATAGATTGTTGACTGAGGTGCAATCTTTCTAGCTGTGATTCTCTGTCCTGTTAGGCCATTTTTGTGCAGTGCAATGATGACTGCACGTGTTTCTTTAGAGATGACCATGTTTCACAGAAGAGAAACAATAATGCCAAGCACCAGCCTCTTTTTAAAGTGTCCAATGGTGCCATTCTTACTTAATCATGACAGATTGACCTCCAGCCCTGTCCTCATCACCACCCACACCTGTGTTAATGGAGCAATCAGTGAAACCATGTTAGCTGGTCCTTTTAAGGCAGGGCTGCAATAACGTTGAAATGTGTTTTGGGGGATAAAGTTCATTGTCTAGGCAAATATTAACTTTGCAATTAATTGCTGTTATGCTGATCACTCTTTATAACATTCTGGAGTATATGCAAATTGCCGTTACAAAAACTGAAGCAGTAGACTTTGTAAATAACATTTGAATCATTCTCAAAACTTTTAGCCATGATGTATATTTAACCATCCAGAATAAAGGGTTGCTCATGGAGAAGATAGCGGGAGACAACAGAGCAGTATGGGGAACGAATATATTAAATTAAATGTTGATGCTGTTTTTGGGGCGGTGCACCTTCGCATACTGATGCGACGAAAAAAAAAAGGATGAAGAAATATAGGGAGGAATGGGAAAAAACAAATCTCTGGGTGGAAAAAGTCTGCCATAATGAATATAAAGCACACTGCACAGTGTGGCGGCGCTTTTCTTCTGTAGCAAATGGGTTTACCTTCCCAACATCCAAGCTGCTGTGTCCTTTGTCCTCAGCATCCCATCTTGCACTGGTTTTGTGGAGAGGATTTTCTCCTTAATGAAGAACAAATGCTGCGATGGACTGGCGAATTGTCCAGGTTGTACCCCGCCTCTCGCCCGTAGATAGCTGGAGATAGGCACCAGCACCCCTTGCCACCCCACTTGGGATAAAGCATGACAGGAAATGGATGGATGGAGGAAGAACAAATAAACTAATGTGTGGTACAAATGTTCCACTGAATTAATTAAAGCTGAGCTCATTGTCAGCCTCAATTATCAACTGTCTTGCCCAGAGTTGTACTCTGCAACAACTCCTCACTGCTGCAAGAGCTCAGAGGAAATACAAGTAGAAAAAGTAGGCTATCACCACATAATGATTTTTTTTTTCTGTTTTACAACTGTAGCCTACAGTCATTGTATTTAAGGCACAAATATCTTTACAAGTTTGCACAAGTTTGCTGTTGCACCAAAAATGTGCACTATTTATTTATTGTTTTATATTAATTTTTGCAGTTTGAAGTTAAGCTTTTGTTTAAGATACTTATTTTTTTCAGCGAAGTTTGTTATTTTGTGTTAAAGGGAATTGCTGGATAATAATTTGTTTTCCATGTGTTCAGGTCACTTGCAAATATGCAACTAATTCAATGCAGATTTGAGTCAAATAGTAAAAAAAAAAAAGTCATTTCACACACAGAGGGGGGGCTAAAAAAAAAAATCACCACGCCAGGAAGGAGTAAAGGCAAACGGGTCAGCTGGAACGCACATGAGGCGTCCCTTTTTTCTCAGGGAATTATCAACCCTAGTGGAAACTCAAAGGACTGAGCATGAAGAGGCTGTCCTAATATACATTTATCCTTCTTTAGCTCCTGCTCCTCCCATAGAGAATGTATGTTTCTGTCTTTTACTCCAACAATTGTAGAGCAAGTATTTTGTTCTCATTTCAAACAGAAAAGTTATATTTATTCTTACTGCTGCTATAATAACATCATCATTATTTAGGTTTACTAATTCATCCATAACATCCATTATTGCTTCCAACATTAATGTTTTTGCAACTAAAACTATTTAAAACCACTAAGAAAACTGTAGTAGACTTTATTATGGCAGCTGATTTTAAATAACAGGTAATACCCATGTTACTATGTCAATATGAACTGCCTACTTTGATTCTATATTGAATCTGGATTCATTAAAGTCAATCACACAATTAATTTATTTCTTGAGACCCCACTGTTCTGGCATATGTAGTGAATAATCTGCTGTAGATTATGCGTAAAATGTGGACATATAAAAAGAAAATATGAATATGCAGTTTTAGTATATCACCCATAACACGCCCACTAATTTGAAATGTATACTTTAAATTCCAACATTTTTACTATTTAATGGAGAACACTGGTTTATATGGAGGATAAAAAGTGCCAAAATTAAATAAATAAATACAGCATTAAATAAATAATTAAATGTGTCAATAATTAATTAAATGTGGAATTAAATAAATAAATGTGTCATTCATTAATAAAAACCATGTCACTAATATAAAGTGCCACAATTAAATAAATAAATACAGCGATAAACAATTAATTAAATGTGTAATTCATTAAATAAATAAGGAATTAAATATATAAATGTGTCATTAATTTAATAAAATATGTCTTCATTTTATTAAAAAAAAATATATTATTTCAGTGTGCATTTAATTATTTCATGGTCCTGTGTCGCAGTGCATCGAAACCATTAAAAGAATGTCAAACTCACCCATCAAAGTTAGGGGGCGGTTATCTAACACCTGATTGGTCACCCTGCACATTAAGGCGAAGCAAATCGATTACAGAGACTCGATTCGCATCAACCCTGCCCCCTAACTTTGATGGGTGAGTTTGACAGATTCTTTTAATGGTTTCGATGCACTGCGACACAGGACCATGAAATAATTAAATGCACACTGAAATAATTATATATACTTTTTTTATAAAATGAAGACATATTTTATTAAATTAATGACACATTTATATATTTAATTCCTTATTTATTTAATGAATTACACATTTAATTAATTGTTTATCGCTGTATTTATTTATTTAATTGTGGCACTTTATATTAGTGACGTGGTTTTAATTAATGAATGACACATTTATTTATTTATTTAATGCTGTATTTATTTATTTAATTTTGGCACTTTTTATCCTCCAAAGATTTAAATGTTGTATTAAGAAAGGTTTTTCCAAAAACATTGCAATTCTCCACTTTAGAGTTATGTAAAAGCACACAAAAGTATATGCACATTTATATATTTTATTCTCATTGTCTTTCTTTGGGCATAATTGCCTATTTTAGAGCAACCTATAAACAATTAGCAAAGTTTTGGGTATTAATTGACATACAGGACTGTGGCCTAGTGGAATCCACAGGTTGTGAGTTCAAGCCCCACTCCCACAGACTGCCACCATGGGTCCCTGAGCTAAGACCCTTAACCCCACTCTGCTCCCCCGGGTGCCGCACAATGGCAGCCCGCTGCTCCCCAAGGGGATGGGTTAAATGCACAGAATTCCATTTTGTTACTCTGTGCTTGTGACTGTAATGACAATAAAAAGCTGAGGGGAAAAAAGTAACAAGATTAATATTTTACTTAATACACATGAAAAAACATAAATATCCTTTTAATGCTTATGTAACCTACAGAGGTGCGGAGCTGTAGGTCAAATAGATGTTGCAGATTATGTAAGGAAAGGTTTATCCCAGTCCTTACAGAATTGACTCTGAATCCTAAAGAAAGACGTTAGACTTAAATTGGTCTTATCCCTTAAATTCTTAATAATTAACTAGGAAAAGTATGCGTAATGCACCGGGACATCACATGGGACCTGAACTGGACAGAGAGTCAATGAGAAAAGCCAAACACTAAATAAAAATGAAAGGCCTTCAGAAAGCCAAGAGGGGGTTTAAACTGACTACTCCAAAGCTTAAAATCAAGCTTTGAGAAAAGAATCCTGAGACTCTTTAATATTCTAAATTCTTTGCTAATCCTGTCCCACGTTTAAGCTGAACCAGCAAGTGTCCAATTAGACACCTGGATCTACCAACTATGGTATTTCCTGCCTAAAACGTCTGATAATGCGATAAAAAAGTATTTAATGAAGCTTTACAATAATCATCAAATGTCTATTTCTGTGTTTTCCCCCCAGAAATCCAGACAAATCATTGGCTTATTCCTGTCTCTGTCATCTCAGCAGTAGCAATTGCTGTAATTTGCTGCTATGTTCTACGAAACATACATTCAAGGTATGTCCACAACATTTGTATATTTTCACAGCATAGTCAGCACTGTACAATTTTTATATGATCTAAAGAAACATGTAATTGTTTGTTTGGATACAGATGGAGAGAACGTGTTAACATGATTTAACACTGAGGAACAATCAGGATCAAGCAAAGGCAGAAATAGTTTAACAGCACATGGAGTCCACGTCATCACCTCCAAGGGATCCCGCCTAAAAACAACAAGCACTTAGCCATTCAGGCTAAACAAGACGACATTATGAGATTTATAATCCTCTCATAACATTTTCATGCATCTCTGCAGACTCTGGTTGGCGCCGATAAGATCGTCTATTGCAAACTTTAAAGGGGGGATCTCTGGAGGTCACCATCAGAGAGCAGCAGTTGTGAGTGAGGATAGCATGAAGTCCCATGAGGAATGGATATCTGATGACCTCTCCTGTTCCCCACTGGATTGTTCATGTTGCATAATGTATCATTATCTCAGTATCAGAGTATCTTCTAAATATGAAAAGAAAAAAACAAGTTTTTTTATTAATAATGACAATCCAAGTTAAATGAAATGCTAATCGGATGACAAATGTTTAAAGGTACACTGCGGACTTTGTGACCTTAAGAGTTGATGCATATGAGCTTTTTTAAACGATTCCTCTGGCCGTTATACAGAGCTTGACTCTATTAATGCTATGAGTGCGGTGCTATTCTATGATAATTGCAGTTCAGCAAAAATGTCTCGTAAAACAAGACAAAAACAAACAAATGCTTTTCAGTTCAATTCAATTCACAAATACCTTAGTGATACCAAAGAACATTTTTATTTTGATTGGGATTTTATGCTATAGAGCAAAAAATTCAGATTTTGTTTTTTCTACCTGTAACGTGTAAAAATTAAGGTTTTTAATTTTCTTTTACAAATAAGTTTCATAAGTTTGGTGCACAAACTACACTAAGCAGTTACTCAAGTGAGAGTTAAGTTTTTTAAATTAACTTGTTTAATCCAAGCAGGCAGGGAATTTGAGGTTTGTACTTTATAAAAAAAATGCTGAGGATGAGGAGGCATATACCCTGCTATTAAGCTGGCTTTATCTGTTAAGATAGTGGTAAATGAGTAAGGGAGCAGAGGACAGTTCCTGATTTAGAAGTTTAGAAATGTGTAAATCTAATGATACAGTCTCTTATGTAAAGCAACTCATTAAATTGTGAAATATACAAAAATGTTTGATGTTTTACTTTAGAACAATATTTTTTTCCAGCTTTTATTGTCATTACACTGTCACGAGTACAGAGCAACAAATTTCACTCTCTGCATTTAACCCATCCCCTTTATCTCAGTATCAGAGTATCTTCTAAATATGAAAAGAAAAAAACTAGTTTTTTTTATTAATAATGACAATCAAAGTTAAATGAAATGCTAATCGGATGACAAATCTTTAAAGGTACACCGCAGACTTTGTGACCTAAAGAGTTGATGCATATGAGCTTTTTTAAACGATTCCTCTGGCCGTTATACAGCGCATGACTATTAATGCTATGAGTGCGGTGCTATTCTATGATAACTGCAGTTCAGCAAAAGCCTGTTAATCAGCAGCAGAGATGTCAACTAACGAAATACAAATACTTCTTGCTGTACTTAAGTACAGTTTTTAGGTATCTATACTTTACTCCATTACTTATTTTTCATCCTACTTCTGACTTCTAATCATTACATTTTCACACATGTATCTGTATTTTCTATTCCTTACATTTTTAAAACAAACGTTACTCGTTACTCTTGGCTTCGGTTTAATGTTTATAAATATTTATTTCATGTCATGTGCGCCATCCAATGCAGATCATTGGCTCCATCCACATCTAGTGAAAACTAGTGTAATTTGATGAGTCATATAACGCAAACACTCATTGGTTAGCTAAAGGAAATCATCAGAATCAAGCAGGTGTTCTTCAAACTGCAAACGTGAATTGTCTATGCCATGCTACAATGTCGGATTCAGAAAAAGACGTTGAAATGTCTGAAAGGTCGGACACAGGCGAGAGCGTATCGGGAGACGGAGACCAACAAGACCTCCCTCATCTTTGGCTCTATCTCAAAGAATCTTTCTAAATAGTCGAAAAGTTGAGCTTTCAATTCATATAGTGGCATCTGGCTGTTTTTTTAAAAGTTACTTTATACTTTTATACTTGAAGTAGTCTCTTAGCTCTGCGTTTTTTATTTTTGTTTTTTTTACAATTTCAACAAGATTCCTGCTTTAACTGTCATACATGTTTAAAAACATCCTGCTTCTAATTTAATTTAAATTTTTTATTTTAAATGTAATTTTCTATATTGTAGTATTAATCAGAAAGTATATCCTAAATATTTGCAGGAGCAAATATTCATCTTGAATAACCGTGAAAGTGTTTTATTTCTTAATGTGTTTATTCTTTAAGTTATTGTTTTAGTCACTTTCCTTTCCAACTTGCACATTGTCAATGCTTTGCTTTTATTTTGTTTAAAGTGCCTTACTGTAACAATGCTGATTTTTGTTCACTGCTTTGCAAATAAAATATGAGTAAAGTTATAAAGTACTGTATGTCTCTTAAAACAAGACAAAAACAAACAAATGCTTTTCAGTTCAATTCAATTCAGAAATACCTTATTGATACCAAAGAACATTTTAATTTTGATTGGGATTTTATGCTATAGAGCAAAAAATTCAGATTTAGATTTTATACCTGTAAGGTGTAAAAATTTATGTTTTTAATTTTCTTTTACAAATAAGTTTCATAAGTTTGGTGCACAAACTAAACTAAGCAGTTACTCAAGTGAGAGTTAAGTTTAAGTTTTTTTTAAATTAACTTGTTTAATCCAAGCAGACAGGGAATTTGAGGTTTGTACTTTATAAAAAAAATAGCTGAGGATGAGGAGGCATATACCCTGCTATTAAGCTGGCTTTATCTGTTAAGATAGTGGTACTGTAAATGAGGAAGGAGCAGAGGATACTTCCTAAATTTAGAAGTTTCGAAATGTGTAAATCTAATGATACAGTCTCATACTTACGCAAACAAGTCTTTAAATTGTGAAATGTCATGAATTGAGGACAGATGGACCCAGTATTCAAGGAGAGACAGTCAGTAGGAAAGTTCAAAACGTTTATTAACAAAACAAAAACTAAAGCGGAGCTGTGGCTCGCGGACACTGCAGGCGGGGGGGCGGGGCACCGCCCAATCTCAGACACTCTAGGGGAGAAACACAGGTAAGTGACCACGATAAACTGATAGAAGATTATCTGTGTTGGTCACTTACCTGGTTTAACAGTCCAGACCACGAATGTCCCAGTACTGCAGTCCCAGAGGTCATGCTGGAAGCTGATCCTGGTGAGGGATCCAGAACAGACAGGAACAGGCAGGATCCAGATCAGGCAGGAACAGGAACAGGTGGCAGGATCCAGACTTCCAGGCATCCACAGGCTCCCAGGAGGGTTCAGAGTCTGACTGGGACCAGAAGCATGACCAGGTGGTCACGCACAGGAGCAGACAGGACCAGGTGCAGACAGGCAGGCTCAGTGGAAGAGGGTAGCAGAGACAGGACGTAGGAACCGGAACTTGAAGCAGGACTTTAAACTGGTCTCCTCCCTGGAGCCAGGCTTACTGGATAAAAACTGAACCTCCCCACATAATGAGCCAAAACCCAGAGGACTCCGGTCCTCTGGCATGGGAGCTGGCTCGGAGCTCGTCTGTCTGGCTGCATGTTTCCTGGACGGGGCCGCCTTTTACAGCTGCTTTTTGTGTCTCTGCTTCTGTCTCCTTGAACCCCAGTCGGCCTCAGCAGAGGGCCGCTCACACTGAGCCTGGTTCTGCTGGAGGTTTCTTCCTCTTAAAAGGGAGTTTTTCCTCTCCACTGTCGCTACAAGCATGCTTAGTGTGAGGGATTGTATTTGAGTCAATGAGTCAATGCAATCAACTGGTTTTCCTTAGATAGAAAACTTTGTATCAATTTGAATGTATGATCTGGTTGAACTGTAAAGTGCCTTGAGATGACATGTGTTGTAAATTTGGCGCTATATAAATAAACTGAATTGAATTAAACACTAGGCCGCCATTCCCCAAAGTGTCAGAACACACACGCCGTTTTCCATGTTTTTGCTATTTCTGTGCAGATAACTTCATACGGGGCTGATGTGATGATCTAGATGAAAAATGAAGACATTCCCATTATTGAGCTTCAAATTTTCATTCCAATAAGTTTTTCTTTTATGTTTTAATGAGCAGTGTTCAGGGCTGTGCATGTTTAAGGTGCAAGATATATATTTAGATCTTTTTAACTTCCTCATGAGTTCACCCCTGGCCTGACATCTGTGCTCCTTGGTGCGGTCTGCTCTCTATGTGCTCGGATTAAATCAATCTAATTAATCCAGTTTGTTGCTTTCATTTTTAACTAATGTTAAGACTGATGTTTTTGTGAGTAAGTGCAAAAAGCCTTTATTGGCTGTTAAATAGCATATTAGAGGGGCAAGATTAACTTTCACCTGTCATGAAGAGGAAAGTTCTCTGAATGTTTATGGCCTTTAAAAAAGTATTTAGATGTATGTTAATTAATTAAACACTTTTTTAACATTAATTTACAATGTCGTGAGTAATTGGTCTTTTCTTTTGCTGTCATAAGAGGATTTTAATTGTGTCAATAATATTTTCTCTTTCCTCAAGTGAAGTTAAACAAGTAGGACTATTTGCAAGGAAGGCATTTATGCGACTGATACCATCAAATATTTACATAACAGGCATAACTTTCTAAAGGACTGGTGTTGACATGTCCCACCAATAATCTCTGCTCTTCTCCCCCTGCTGCTCATTTACTTTAGCCAAAAGTAACTGTTTGGCAGATCTGCTCATTAGTTCAGATGGGGGTGCATGAACAGACATTTGTGTGTGCACATACACACACACATTTTAGTGTGCCACTCTGCAGCACTTCTCAGCAGGTGAAAGAAATCTGGCCCAATCAGCAGCACCCTCAACTCAGGTAATAAGGAATTCACAAACAGCTTTACTGGTTTTGCAACAGAGCTGAGGAAGGCAAACACAGCCTCCAAAGCAGCATTTTATGGAAAAGGACTTAAAAGGACTACCTAGTGATGGGTCGGGCAACACCGATGCGTCGGCGCATGTGTCTGTCTCATAGTGCGAAACCTGTGTCGACGTGTGTATCGCTACGGAAAAGTCACGATGTTTCGAACTGATTGACAAGCCTTTATAAGGATGCGCATCTGCCAAAACAATCTTGCGTGTTTTGCGAATATAAAATTCATCAAAAATTATGGAGCTTCCTCAAGCAAAAAGAAAGGTTTCTCCCGTGTGGGACCACTTTGATGTCATTTCGGAAAATAAGGTATTTGTTTTAATGTCCTTGTTTCATCCTGTTCCTCTCAGAGTTTCCACTTGATTCATGTACTAAAATACTATTTTTTTTTTAAGATGACCTTTGGGAACATTTTGATCTCGAAGTGGGGAGGCAGACCAAAAGTGCCACAGCTGATGCCATCCTTGAGGTGCAGAGATACATGGCAGAGGGCAATATTGCGAGGTCCCAGGATCCTCTTGTATATTGGAAAAACTAAAGGACGGTTTATCCAAACCTCTTCCGCCTGGCCTTAAAATTGTTGTGCACTCCAGCTTCATCTGTGCCGTGTGAGCGGGTGTTTTCCACAGCTGGAGAACTAATATCAAAAAAGCGCAACAGACTGAAT